GGTGTATAAATGGAAAACAGGAATAAATAAAGGGGATGTAAATAGCGTGCTGAAAGTTTCCAGCCAAGACAGGAATCGCAGCAATGGTTTCAAGTTGGAAAAATTCAGATTCAGGAAGGATATAGGAAAGCACTGGTTTGGTAATAGAGTTGTGGATGAGTGGAACAAACTCCTGAGTACAGTTATTGAGGCTAAAACGTTGTGAAGTTTTGTAGTTTTAAAAATAAGTTAGATAAATACATGAGTAGGTGTGGGTGGGTGTGAGTTGGACCTGACTAGCTTGTGCTGCTGGGTCTGGTGCCGAGCTCCTTCCCTGAGTGGAGGTGACCAGACTCGGTGGGTCATTTGGTTAATCCCGGGGGGAGGGGAGGGCCTGCTCTGCATGGGTCAGTAGGCCTGTTGCAGTGTTCCTTCATTCTTATGTTCCTATGTTCTTACTTGTGGTTGGGGATTTCAATGCTACAGTGGGTAAAAATGTTGTGGAGGGAGTAGTAGGTAAATTTGGGGTGCCAGGGGAAAATGAAAATGGGGAGCTTTTAATTGAGCTATATATAGAAAGAAGTTTGGTAATAAGTAATACATATTTTATGAAAAAGAGGATAAATAAATATACAAGGTATGATATAGCACATAATGAAAGTAGTTTGTTAGATTATGTATTGGTGTATAAAAGGTTGAAGGGTAGGCTCCAGGATGTACATATTTATAGAGGGGCAACTGATATATCGGATCATTATTTAGTTGTAGTTACAGTTAAAGTAAGAGGTAGATGGGACAAGAGGAAAATGGCAACAAGAAGTAAGAGGGGTGAAAGTGTATAAACTAAGGGAGGAGGAAGTTCGGGTTAGATTTTTTTTTTTTATTATTATCACACCGGCCGATTCCCACCAAGGCAGGGTGGCCCGAAAAAGAAAAAATTTCACCATCATTCACTCCATCACTGTCTTGCCAGAAGGGTGCTTTACACTACAGTTTTTGAACTGCAACATTAACACCCCTCCTTCAGAGTGCAGGCACTGTACTTCCCATCTCCAGGACTCAAGTCCGGCCTGCCGGTTTCCCTGAACCCCTTCATAAATGTTACTTTGCTCACACTCCAACAGCACGTCAAGTATTAAAAACCATTTGTCTCCATTCGCTCCTATCAAACACGCTCACGCATGCCTGCTGGAAGTCCAAGCCCCTCGTACACAAAACCTCCTTTACCCCCTCCCTCCAACCTTTCCTAGGCCGACCCCTACCCCGCCTTCCTTCCACTACAGACTGATACACTCTTGAAGTCACTCTGTTTCGCTTCATTCTCTCTACATGTCCGAACCACCTCAACAACTCTTCCTCACCCCTCTGGACAACAGTTTTGGTAATCTCGCACCTCCTCCTAACTTCCAAACTACGAATTCTCTGCATTATATTCACACCACATATTGCCCTCAGACATGACATCTCCACTGCCTCCAGCCTTCTCCTCGCTGCAACATTCATCACCCATGCTTCACACCCATATAAGAGCGTTGGTAAAACTATACTCTCATACATTCCCCTCTTTGCCTCCAAGGACAATGTTCTTTGTCTCCACAGACTCCTAAGTGCACCACTCACCCTTTTCCCCTCATCAATTCTATGATTCACCTCATCTTTCATAGACCCATCCGCTGACACGTCCACTCCCAAATATCCGAATACATTCACCTCCTCCATACTCTCTCCCTCCAATCTGATATCCAATCTTTCCCTCTTTCCTACATACTCTAACTTGAGCCTCACTATCCTCGTAAAAATTCTTCACTGCTTTCAGTAACCTACCTCCTACACCATACACCTGCAACATCTGCCACATTGCCCCCCTATCCACCCTGTCATACGCCTTTTCCAAATCCATAAATGCCACAAAGACCTCTTTAGCCTTATCTAAATACTGTTCACTTATATGTTTCACTGTAAACACCTGGTCCACACCCCCTACCTTTCCTAAAGCCTCCTTGTTCATCTGCTATCCTATTCTCCGTCTTACTCTTAATTCTTTCAATAATAACTCTACCATACACTTTACCAGGTATACTCAACAGACTTATCCCCCTATAATTTTTGCACTCTCTTTTGTCCCCTTTGCCTTTATACAAAGGAACTATGCATGCTCTCTGCCAATCCCTATGTACCTTACCCTCTTCCATACATTTATTAAATAATTGCACCAACCACTCCAAAACTATATCCCCACCTGCTTTTAACATTTCTATCTTTATCCCATCAATCCCGGCTGCCTTACCCCCTTTCATTTTACCTACTGCCTCACAAACTTCCCCCACACTCACAACTGGCTCTTCCTCACTCCTACAAGATGTTATTCCTCCTTGCCCTATACACGAAATCAAAGCTTCCCTATCTTCATCAACATTTAACAATTCCTCAAAATATTCCCTCCATCTTCCCAATACCTCTAACTCTCCATTTAATAACTCTCCTCTCCTATTTTTAACTGGCAAATCCATTTGTTCTCTAGGCTTCCTTAACCTGTTAATCTCACTCCAAAACTTTTTCTCGTTTTCAACAAAATTTGTTGATAACATCTCACCCACTCTCTCATTTGCTCTCTTTTTACATTGTTTCACACTCTCTTAACCTCCCTCTTTTTCTCCATATACTCTTCCCTCCTTGCATCACTTCTACTTTGTAACTATTGGCAGAAAGGTGAGCTAGTGCAAGTATGAGAAGTGGGGGGGTTGAAGAGGGTTGGAATAGTTAAAAAAAATGCAAGTAACAGAATGGGGGGCCAGAAGTTTATGGTTATAGGAGGGTGGGTGCAGGAGAAAGAGGAGTGATTGTTGGATTGATGAAGTAAAGGGTGTGATAAAAGAGAAAAAGGAAGTTTTATGAGAGGTTTTTACAAGCAGAAGTGTTATAAAAAGAGCAGATATATGGAGAGTAAAAGAAAGGTAAAAGAGAGTGGTGAGGGAGTGCAAAGAAAGAGCAGATGACAGGTCGGAGAGGGAAACTGTTCAAGAATTTTTCATGAAAATTTAAGAAAAAATTTTGGAGCGATTTAAAACCCAAGTTAAAAAAGCCTAGGGAACGAATGGATTGCCAGTTAAAAACAGAATAGGGGGAGTTAGTACATGAGGAGATGGAGTTATTGGGCAGATGGCGGGAATATTTTGAGGAACTTTTAAATGTTGACAAAGAAAGGGAGGCGGGTAAATTTTATGCATTGGCCAGGGAGGTATACCATCTTTTAGGAGTGAAGAAGAGCAGGATGCAAGTGTGGGGGAGGTGTGTGAGGCATTATGTAGAATGAAAGGGGGTAAAGCAGCTGGAATGGACGGGGGATCATGAACAAATATTAAAAAGCAGGGGGGGGATATAGTGTTAGAGTGGTTGGTATTTTTGTTTATTAAATGTATGAAAGAGGGGCAGGTACCTAGGGATTGGCAGAGAAGCATGTATAGTTCCTTTATATAAAAGGAAGGGGGGTCAAAAGATTGTAAAAATTATAGAGGAATTAGTTTTTCTGAGTATACCAGGGAAGTGTACGGTAGGGTTATTATTGAAAGAATTAGAGGCAAAAACAGAATGTAGGATTGCGGATGAGCAAGGAAGTTTTCGAGTGGGTAGGGGATGTGTAGATCAAGTGTTTACATTGAAGCATATATGTGAAACAGTATTTAGAAAAAAGTAGGGAAGTTTTCATTGCATTTATGAATTTAGAAAAGGCATATGATAGAGTGGATAGGGAGCAACATGACAAATGTTGCAAGTATATGGAATAGGTAGTAAGTTACTAAATGCTGTAAAGTTTTTTTATGAGAACAGTGAGGCTCAGGTTAGGGTGTGTAGAAGAGAGGGAGATTACTTCCCAGTAAAATTAGGTCTTAGACAGGGATGTGTAATGTCACTATGGTTCTTTAATATATTTATAGATGGGGTTGTAAAAGAGGTAAATGCTAGGGTGTTTGGGAGAGGGGTGGGATATAAATTAATGGGGAATCAAATATAAATGGGAATGACACTTTTCGTTGATGATACTGTGCTTATGGGAGATTCTAAAGAAAAATTGCAAAGGTTAGTGGACGAGTTTGGGAGTGTGTGTAAAGGTAGAAAGTTGAAAGTGAAAACGTGGAAAAGAGTTAAGGTGATGAGGGTATCAAATGATTTAGATAACGAAAAATTGGATATCAAATTGGAGAGGAGTAGTATGGAAAAAGTGAATGTTTTCAGATATTTGGGAGTTGACGTGTCAGCGGATGGATTTATGAAGGATGAGGTTAATCATAGAACTGATGAAGGAAAAAAGGCGAGTGGTGCGTTGAGGTATATGTGGAGACAAAGAAGGGAATGTATGAAAGTATAGTGGTACCAAACACTCTTATATGGGTGTGAAGCTTGGGTTGTAAATGCTGCAGTGAGGAGATGGTTGGAGGCAGTGAAGATGTCTGTCTAGGGCAATGTGTAGTGTAAATATTATGCAGAAATCTGGAGTGTGGAAATTAGGAGAAGGTGTGGAATTAATAAAAGTATTAGTCAGGGGGCTGAAGAGGGGTTGTTGAGGTGGTTTGGTAATTTAGAGAGAATGGGTCAAAGTAAAAATGACATGGAGAGCGTATAAATCTGTAGGGGAAGGAAGGAGGGGTAGGTTAGAGGGAGGGGGGTAAAGGAGGTTTTGTGGGCGAGTAGCCTGGACTTCCAGCAAGCGTGCGTGAGCGTGTTAGATAGGAGTGAATTGAGACGAATGGTATTTGGGGACCTGACGAGCTGTTGGAGTGTGAGCAGGGTAATATTTAGTGAAGGGATTCAGAGAAACCGGTATTTTTATATAGCTGGACTTGAGTCCTGGAAATGGGAAGTACAATGCCTGCACTTTAAAGGAGGGGTTTGGGATATTGGTAGGTTTGGAGGGATATGTTGTGTATCTTTACACGTATATGCTTCTAAACTGTTGTAATCTGAGCACCTCTGCAAAAGCGGTGATTAGGTGAGTGTATGTATATGTATAGGAAAGGAGTCACATGGTTTTTGGGACATGATGAACTGTTGGAGTGTGAGCAAGGTAATATTTGTGAGGGATTCAGGAAACACCAGTTAGTTGGATTCAAGCCCTGGAGGTGGGAAATACAGTGCCTGTGCTCTAAAGGAAGGGTTTGGGATATGTGAGGTTTGGAGGGATATCTGAACTGTCATATCTGCACACCTTGGGGAAGACAGTGATAGTATGAATGTGAAAGTGTTTCTTTTTTGGATCACCCTGCCTTGGTGGGAGACAGTCAGTGTTAAAAAAAAAAATATTGTATTACTGGTAAAATAATGATGTTTGTCAATAATATTTACTGACTATTCCCTACCCTCTTTTTCAAGTCCTTTAACAGGACTGAAAGAAAACAGTGACCTTGGGTTGATGAGCTCCCAAGCTTGAGAAAGTCCTGAGGCAACTGATGCCCTCCTTTTTGTCTGGAAATACAGTAAAAAATGCATTAGCAGTTGCACCAACTTAAATAATATTAATTTATTAAAAAAAAATAATATAGTACTGAAGTTTAAAAGTATGTTATTGCACAATAATTTTACTGTGCTCTAAATTTATTTGGAATATACCATCTCTGTTCACAATTCATCTCTTAATACAGCAGGGCCCCACTTTATGTCATTCCGCTAATATGGTGTTTTCAAATTATGACCAAAACTCAAAATATGGGAACCAGTCTTTCTAATATGGCACCCCCCCCCACCTGGTTTGTTTACATTCTCCATAAGCACATCTCTCTATTATGTCTTTAAACTTTCCAAAATTTCAAGTGTTTTAAAGTTATTGCATATTTTATATGTACTCTGATAATAATAAATATTTCATTTATTTATGTAACCCTTTCAGGGTTGGTGCCGTAGTGGTACGTCTTATGCGCCACGGTTGGTGTCGTACTAGTACGTATAAATTCTAGAGCTTTCAAATCAAGCAGGAAAAGGCTGGTAGGCCTAGATGTGAAAGAATGGGTCTGCATGGTCAATGTGTGCAGTATAAAAAAAATCCTGCAGCACACAGTGCATAATAAGAAAAAAAAAGAACTCCGACGGTATTTTTGGTTTAACCCTTGGTCGTATATATATACGTCGTAAGAGCCACCATGTTTGACGTATATATACTCAAATTCTAGCGGCTTCAAATCAAGCAGGAGAAAGCTGGTAGGCCCATATGTGAAAGAATGGGTCTGTGTGGTCAGTGTGCACCATATAAAAAAAATCCTGCAGCACACAGTGCATAATGAGAAAAAAAAAAAAAACTCAGACCGTTTTTTTTAATTAAAATGCCGAATTTGTGGTCTATTTTCGTATAGTATTTATGGTTGTATTCTCGTTTTCTTGGTCTCATTTGATAGAATGGAAAACATATTATAGAAATAGAGGTGATTTTGATTGGTTTTACTAGGAACCTTGAAATGGAGCTCATAGTAGGGAAAATGTTTGATTTTTGCTGATGTTCAAAAGTAAACAAATGATGTCATTTTCCAATAAATGTCCAACTAGCCATTCTAATATGCAGTCATGAATGGGTTGACATTATTTATACAATTATTACAATATTGCAGTAGTCTGCATAACAGTAAATCTTCTATTTTTTGTTTGAATAAAAATTCAAAATAGAAAGCAAGAGTAATATCAGAGGGGCCTGGAGATGTGACTGATGAACAAAGAAAATGACATTTTAGAGCCAGGAATGTCTGCATTGTTCATTCTGGACCCTATTTTGAAATTGTCCTATTTTTTAATTTTCGTGAAATTGGCCAAATTGCAAATTTCTGACCACATTATTGGGTAGTTGAAATCAGTAAATGGGCAGTTTCTTGTACGCAATCGATAGAAAAAATGGAGGTCTAAAGAAATAGCTATTAGTTTGGTCGACTGGAACAATGGAATTAGCCAAAAATATGGCTCAAAGTGGGCGAAATCGCCGATTCATAAATATTGCCACGGTCGCTAACTTCGCGAGAGGGTAATTCCATCAGTTTTCTATCAAATTTTGTTCTTTTGGTGTCATTATAATTGGGAAAAGATTCTTAATCATTTCACAAGAAAAACTAATTTTTTTTCGGAAATTTTGCAACACCAGGAGACACCTCAGGATTTGAGGTTGCGACAGTCAAGGGGTTAAAACAGAGACTTTGCAGTCTATTTTCATATGGTATTTATGGTTGTATTCTCGCTTTCTTGGTCTCATTTGATAGAATGGAAGATATATTACAGAAATAGAGATAATTTTGATTGGTTTAATGATGACAAGTACATGTACCTCGAAATTGAGCTGCAAAGTATAAAAAAAAGTTTGATTTTTGCCGATGTTCAAGAGTAAACAAATCGCACCACATGTCCAATACACATCAACTGGTGAGTTTAACCCTTTGAGGGTTTCGGCCGTACTAGTACGGCTTACGACCCAGGGTTTTTGACGTACTAGTACGCCTAAATTCTAGCGCCCTCAAATCTAGTGGGAGAAAGCTGGTAGGCCTACATATGAAAGAATGGGTCTACGTGGTCAGTGTGCACAGTATAAAAAAAATCCTGCAGCACACAGTGCATAATGAGAAAAAAAAAAACGACCGTTTTTTTGGAATAAAACAGCAACTTTGCACTGTATTTTCGTATGGTATTTATTGTTGTATTCTAGTTTTCTTGGTCTCATTTTATAGAATGGAAGACATATTACAGAAATTGAGATGATTTTGACTGGTTTTACAATGAAAAGTACCGTGAAATTGAGCTCAAAGTAGCAGAAATTTTCGATTTTTACCAAAGTTCAAAAGTAAACAAATCATGCCAAGCGTCTAATACATGTCAACTGGTGAGTCTAATATTCTTTCGCAAGTGCACCAATATTATTTATACCATTTTTTACACTAATGCAGTAGTCTGCATAACAGTAAATCTTCTATTTTTTGTGAGAATAAAAATTCAAAGTGGAAAGCAAAAGAATGTAAGAGGGGCCCTCAGACGTGACTAATGAACAGAGGAAATGTCATTTTAGTGCCAGGAATGTCTTTCTTGTTTATTCTGGACCCTATTCGGAAATTGGCATCTTTTGAAATTTGTGTGAAATTGGCAAAATTGCTAAATTCTGACCACTGTACTGGATAGTTGAAATCGGTAAATGGGTGGTTTCTTGCACTCATTCGATAGAAAAAATGGAGTTCTAGCGAAATATTCATGTTTTTTGTTGACTAGTACAGTGGAATTGGCCGAAAATGGGGCTCAAAGTGGGCAAAATCGCCGATGCGTAAACATCGCTGAGACCGCTAACTTCGGGAGAGCATAATTCTGTAAGTTTTCCATCAAATTTCATACTTTTGGTGTCATGATCGGGAAAAGATTCTCTATCTTTTCACAAGAATTTTTTTTTTTTTAAATTTGGCCGACCCTGAGAATGAGTCTCGGAGAGGGCCTGTCGACCCTCAAAGGGTTAATATTCTTGCACAAGTGTGCTATTATTTATACCATTTTTACAATGATGCAGTAGTACACATAACAGTAAATCTTCTATTTTTTGTGGGGCCTGGAAGCATGATTAACGAACAGATAAAATGTTATTTTAGTGCCAGGAACGTCTGTCTTGTTTATTCTGGACCCTATTTTGAAATTGGCATCTTTTGGAATTTGTGTGAAATTGGCCAATATTGCCAGTTTATTGGGTAGTTGAAATCAGTTAATGGGCAGTTTCTTGTGCTCAATCAATAGAACAAATGGAATTCTAGCAAAATAGCTATGATTTTAGTAGATTGGAACATTGGAATTGGCCAAAAATAGCACTCAAAGTGGGTGAAATCGCTGATGCGTAAATATCGTCGATATCGCTAACTTTGCGAGAGCATAATTCCGTAAGTTTTCCATCAAATTTCATACTTTTGGCATCATTATGATCGAAAAAAAATTCTCTATCATTTCATAAGAAAAAAATATTTTTTTTACTTTTCGAATATTTTTCAACCCTGAGCGGGAGTTAACGCTCAACCCTTTGGAGGTCGACAGGCCCTCTCCCAAACTCGTTCTCAGGGTCAAAAAAAAAAAAAAAAAAAAAATGATAGAGCACGTTTTTGTGAGTGTTATAGGCCCCCCAAAAAAAATGTCATCAATACTTACCGAGATATGGAGTCGTGAAGTTGACAAAGCGAGCTACTTACGGCAACATCGCCGACTGCCAGTCACACAGTAATAGTTTATTTATTTTTTCTACTCTTATTTTTTCAAATTTTATTTTTACAAGTAACTTTTATGGCCAATGAGACCATTATGAGCCATATTTTGATATACACTCATTGTATACTACACAGTAATTGCACAAACAGTGACAAGTGAACATTTTCACCTACACTATTTCAGTCACACAGTACTGTCTAGAAATATATACATAGTATTTATAGATCCCAGCAATGTTTTGGTGGAGTATTTATAGGTCCCAGCAATGTTTTGGTGGCAAAGGGAGCTTGGGTTTATGTAAACAACATGGCTGGTAGGCAGCTGGCTGGCTGGCTCTGTCTCTGTCTCACAGGTACACAAATACAATTATACATAGTGTAAATTACCTAAAATACACAGGAGAATATAATAATAATAATAATAATAATAATAAGTGAAGCATGGTGTAAGACTTGTGTGTCACTCCTCTTATCTTATCACTCCAATAATGACAGTGGTGACATCTGATGAGGGTACACTGCCTTTGCTTTACTTGTTTTCACTTTACACAAATATGTCTGCTTGCCTCTGTTTTTCTGTCTCAGAGAGAGCCACCAGTGAACCAACACGATACTATTATTTACCAGTCTGGATTTTCTGGGTTATCCTAGGTAATTTACACTACGTATAATTGACAGTTTGGAGGGATATGTTGTATCTTTATACGTATATGCTTCTAAGCTGCTGTGTTCTGAGCACCTCTGCAAAAACAGTGATTATGTGTGAGTGAGGTGAAAGAGTTGAATGATGATGAAAGTATTTTCTTTTTGGGGATTTTCTTTCTCTTTGGGTCACCCTGCCTCGGTGGGAGATGGCCGACTTGTTAAAAAAAAAAAAAATTGTATTTATGTGTACCTGTGAAACAGACAGACAGACAGACAGACAGACAGACAGACAGACAGACAGACAGACAGACAGACAGACAGCCAGCCAGCCAGCCAGCCTGCCACCTGACCAGCCAGCCAGCCACCTTACAAGCCAGCCAATGTTTACACAAATTCACGCTGCCTTTCCCACCCCTACACTGCCTTCCCCATCTTCAGTGACACTTCCATCTGTGTTAGAACTATTACCTGGGAAGAGAATAGTCTCAATTCGAGGAAGAGTGAGGTCTTCCTTACCGCTTGGCTTGGTGACAAAGGCGCACTGAATTACCACTCCCGCAATGCAATGCGGGTGTCTAGATTTTTTCCTTCTGCGCACACTAACCACGTAGACCCATTCTATCACATGTAGGCCTAACAGCTTTCTCCCGCTCGATTTTAAGGTGCTAGAATTTATGAGTACAAGTACGTGACCAACCCTGGCTGCAATGACGTACTTGTACATGACCGACCCTCAAAAGGTTAAACTGTTCAAGCGTAGATCTACATTCATGCGCATAGCACTCTGACCTTGATTTTCCCCATTTGAAAGCATGTAAAAAAACAGATCTACGTTTGGAGAGTTATACAAGCGAACACAGATCTACGTTTGGGCAGTTTAACCCATTCAGGGTCCAAAGGCCAAATTTCAAAGTGTGCACCAGGATCCAAGAATTTTCAAAAAATAATTGTTATTTTTTCTTATGAAATGGTAGAGAATCTTTTTCTGAAGGTAATAAAACAAAAAGTACGAAATTTGATGGAAAATTGATGAAATTATGCTCTCGTGAATTTTGATGTGTCTGCAATATTTATGCATCAGCGATTTTGCCGACTTTGACTCCCATTTTAGGCCAATTACATTATTCCAGTCAACCAAATTCTTAGCTACTTCACTAGTATTACTTCTATTCTATCGATTGAGCACAAGAATTCGCCAAGTCAACTGTTTCAACTACAAAATAAAGTGATCGGAAATTGGTAATTTGGCCAATTTAATGCAAAGTTCAACCCAATTTCAAAATAGGGTCCAGAATAAACAATGCAGGCATTCCTGGCACTAAACTAACATTTCCTCTGTTCATTAGTTAAATTTTCAGACTTGACAATTGAATTCCATTTTGATTTTTAATTCACATAATGAATTTTTATTCAAAAAATATTGTAACAATTGTATAAATAATATCACCACATTTGTGAACATATATTAGACCCACCAGCTGGTGTGTATTAGATGTGTGAGGTCATTTGTTTACTCTTGAACATCGGCAAAAATTTAACATTTCCGCTACTTTGAGCTCAGTTTCAAGCCATTTTCAGTACTAAAACCAATCAAATCATCTCTATTTCTGTAATATATTTTTCATTCTATCAAATGAGAGCAAGAAATCGCAAGTACAACTATAAAAAACATACGAAGAAGCACTGCAAAGTCGCTGTTTTAATTGGAAATTATGGTCTGAATTTTTTTTCTCTCTATATGCACTGTGTGCTGCAGGATTTGTTTTATGTGGTGCACACATACCACATAGAAGTATTCTCTCATATCTAGGCCCAAATTTACCGCTCACAGATTATCAGAGTGAGCTGAGCTCTACGGTTTGGACCCTCAACATAAAGCCGTAGATCTATGCCACGGACCCTGAAAGGGTTAAGGATCGAGGGTCTTGACCCTGAAAGGGTTAAGGAACTTCCCTTGAGGGGGAAGTATGCATCCTGAAATTTCATTCGTATCCAGCAGCAAAAAAATCGACTGAACGATGGTTCATATCCTGAAAAGTTCGCATAGTGGGGCGTTTGTAAGCCAAGGTTCCACTGTATATTAAAAATTAGAAAGAATTCAATTATTTTTCATCTTTCCTATTCAGAAATATCCACAAAAATATAAATTCACCTACCTCTGGTAAGGTCTCCTTGAAGAATATATAAAAATATATAATGTTGCAGAAGGCCAGTGTGAGAGCATACAAGGCTGATGCTGCAAACCAGCCAGTGCTGCCCCAACGGGAGAACATGGCTCCTACTGCAGGACCAATGGTAAAGCCAATACTGAAGGCAACCCCAATTAAGGCCTGGTAAAACAAATACAGAACTCTCAAAACAAAACAAAACAAAAAATCAAGGTTTAATAAAAAAAAATCACATTTGTTAGGCTGTTTCAATTATTTGAAAATGTCACATGTACAACAATTAACTATAAAATTAACAACTGCATATCAAAAATACTCCAGTGAAAAAAATTAAGAGAAAAAAAAAAACCTGAACTCTAAGTGCTTACACACTTCCAAGCTTATTCAAGTATGTCTGAAAACACACAGAAAAGCATGAGTATTTCTTTGCTATTGATTTTTGAACTGATATTTTTCACGTAGGTATACAAACAATTTGCTGACTCCTCCTCAATGCAGTGTAAACATGTATTATATCAGTGTTTCAACTGAAGAAAAGCATTAAGAATGCCAAACATATCTTTCACTTCCCAGTCCCACACCTGACTCCCCAGCCATACCTTTCAACCCCTCTGGTCATGCCCCTCACCCTCCTCCAGCCTTCCCACTCCCCCCAGCCATGCCCCTCAACCCTCAACCATGCATCTTTTCCCTCCCAGCCACAGTTCTCAGTAACTAGCCACAGCTTTCAATAACCAGCCACACCTCATTAACCATGCCTCTTCTCCCAGCCACATCTCTCACCCCACAGCCACCTCTGTACACCACCCTTACCAAACAGCCGAACTCCCTCCCCTCACCCAAGTCACATTTTACTCCACAGCCACACTCCTTACCCCACGGTCACATCTCACTCCACAGCCTTACCCCCTTCCCCTCACACCACAGCCACAACCTTCACCCTGCATCCACACCTCTCACCCCACATCCACACCTCTCACCCCGCAGCCACACCTCTCACCCCGCAGCCACACCTCTCACCCCGCAGCCACACCTCTCACCCCGCAGCCACACCTCTCACCCCGCAGCCACACCTCTCACCCCGCAGCCACACCTCTCACCCCGCAGCCACACCTCTCACCCCGCAGCCACACCTCTCACCCCGCAGCCACACCTCTCACCCCGCAGCCACACCTCTCACCCCGCAGCCACACCTCTCACCCCGCAGCCATACCTCTCACCCCACAGCTATTCAAAGTTTATTCTCTATAAGGATTACAATGCTGAGTTTACAGAATTTGGTTATTGTGTGGTTTATATGTAGTAAAATAATAATTACAGAGTGTACCACTAGAACACCTAGCATGGCTAGGCATTTCGGGCAGACTTAGATTAGATCTTAATTTAAAATATTACAAATTATGAGGTAAGTTGGTATTATGGCTAAGTGACTAAATACTAGTTTGTGAGTTTAGCAATGTGAATGCTTTTGTTTTGGCACAATACATAGTTTCAGTATTGAAGTATCACAGGCCAACTTATGACTAGTTAGGATTCATTATTTTAAGATTGAGATTGATATTTATGTTTATGGTCAAATGGGTGAGTGAGTGTAAGTGTGAACCACCAGGTGGTATTCGTGTAATTACCTCTCACCCCGCAGCCATACCTCTCACCCCACAGCCATACCTCTCACCCCGCAGCCATACCTCTCACCCCTGCTATCTAATATTTTTAAAATATTAACTAAGAAAATAATTTTACCCATACTATGTATCATCTAGTTGATTTATTGTTTTCTTACAAATGACCATTTAAATATAAATGCTAAATTTATGTTTATCATATATGACCTCCATCATAAACTCACCATGCCTTTGGCCCTGGATTTTTCATCAGAGATGTCAGTCATAACAGAATATGCAAGCGAGACATTTCCTTTAGTTGCTCCTCCAATGATCCTGGCCAGTACAAACATTGTGAAGTTGGCAGACACGGCCCACACCCCGTAGGAGGCAGCAACTCCAATCTGAAGCACAACAAAACACTACAACACTGGCACTCTTAAATAACTCAGGAAAGATAGACCCACTTAAAAGTTAATCAGATCACCTTATCACTGACAAGGAAATGTGTACAATCGTCAATACTTATTTCCTCTCAGTTTTCATGCAGGAAAATACTAGAGGGATTTCAGAAATAAAAAATTATACAGTGGACCCCCGCATAATGATTACCTCCGAATGTGACCAATTATGTAAGTGTATTTATGTAAGTGCATTTGTACGTGTATGTTTGGGGGTCTGAAATGGACTAATCTACTTCACAATATTTCTTATGGGAACAAATTCAGTCAGTACTGGCACCTGAACATACTTCTGGAGTGAAAAAATATCGTTAACCGGGGGTCCACTGTATATGTACGTCAGGATGAAAATAAGTTATGCATGATAAGTCACTAGTGACTTGGTTCTCAGACAAATAGATTAAAACCAAACAAATCCCCAAGCCCTGTTCTCAAGTGTTATAAAGGAATAAAAGGAGGAACTTAACAAAACATTAACTAGTCTTTTCAACATCTCACTATAAATTGGCATAGTGCCAGATAAGTGGAAAATGGCAGATGTAATACCTATCCACAAGGGTCAGGTTGTTAGCCTTAAATTATAGACCAATTAGCCTAACCTCCATTGTGGGAAAACTGATGGTATCAATAACCACTGAAGCTATTCAGAACAACCACAAAAGAAATTGATCAATGAAACTCAGCACAGTCTTGCCTTGCAAATTTACTATTTTTTCACCAAGGTATTTGAGGAGGTAGATCATGGTAATGAATACAGTACTGCATATATGAACTTCATTAAGGCTTTTGTTAACCCTTTGACTGCCGAGGAACCAAATCCTGAAGTCTCTCTCTGTCACAAAATATTAGGGGGGTGGGGGGATTCTTATGAAATAAGAGAATCTTTTCCTGATGGTAATGACACCAAAAGTAAGAAATCTGATGAAAAACTTACAGAATTACGCTCTCATGAAGTTAGTGATCTTGGCGATATATACGCAGTGGTAATTTTGCCCACAATGAGCCCTATTTTTGGCAAATTCCATTGTTCCAATCAACTAAACTCATAGCTATTTCTTTAGAACTCCATTTGTTCTATCGATTGAGTACAAGAAACCACCCATTTACTGATTTCAACTACCCAATAAAGTTGTCAGAAATTGGCAATTTGGCAAATTTCGTGCAAATTAAAAAAGATACCAATTTCAAAATAGGGTCCAGAATAAACAATGCAGACATTCCTGGCACTAAAATAACATTTTCTCTGTTCATTAGTCATGTCTCCAGGCCCCTCTTATATTACTCTTGTTTTCTATTTTGAATTTTTATTCACAAAAAAATAGATTTATTGTTATGCAGACTACTGCATTATTGTAATAATTGTATAAATAATGTCAACCCAGTTGTGACTGTATTAGATCAGCCAGTTGGACATGTATTGGATGGCGATGTCATTTTGTTTACTCTTGAACCTCGGCAAAAATCGAACATTTCCACTACTTTGAGCTCAATTTCAAGGTCCTTTTCATCATGAAACTAATCAAAATCATCTCTATTTCTGTAATATATCTTCCATTCTGTCAATTGAGACCAAGAAAACGAGAATACACCCATAATTATATGAAAATACACCTCAAAGTCGGCATTTTAATCCAAAAAAAGTCAGTTTTTTTTTTCTCACTATGCACTGCATGCTGCAGGATTTTTTTTTATACTGCGCACACTGACCACAGACTCATTCTCTCACATGTGAGCCTACCAGCTTTCTCCTGCTTGCTTTGAAGCCGCTAGAATTTTGGAGTATTAAAATGTCAAAACCACTGGCTTGTAAGACGTATATATACAACACCAACAGTTAAAGGTTTAAGTTCCACACCTGAGACTGTTGTGGAAAGTAGAGGCGCATGGAATAGGAGAGAAAATTTTCTCCTGTATCAAGGCATGGTTGACAGACAGGCAACAGTGTATTTGCATAAATGGGGAGAAATCAGAGAGTGGGTGCATCACAGGCAGTGCTCCACAGGGATCAGTGTTGGGCCCTTTGTTGGTTACATACAAACAACACTGATGACGGAATAAATAGAGACATGGCGAAGGGTAGGGGTTGTCCTAGGAAAGGATGGAGGGAAGGGGTAGAAGAGAAAAGCTCAATGTATGCATAAAAGGCCCTAAAATTTGGAACTGCTATAAGTTTCCAAAGGTTCCCTACCTGCTGCCCACCTCCTTACATACAGACAGCAATATTTTATATTCAACTACATCTTGAAACCTGTTTATTGAGTTTTTATCCATTATTCATCCTCTTGTACAGTAAGGCCCCACTTCATGGCATTTTCTCTCATGGCATTCTGCTAATACGGCAATTTCAAATTATGACCAAAGCTCTCTATACGGCAACCCATCTTTCTAATGTGGCACGCTCCACCTGCTTTGTTTACATTCTCTGTGAGCACATCTATTATGTCTGGAAACTTCCAAAACTTCAAGTGTTTTAAAGTTATTGCATATTTTATATGAACTCTAATAATTACACTTATGTGCACCTGTACCTAAATATACCCACACACTGTGCTAGCGTGCAGGTACACATTAACCCTTTGACTGTTTTGGTTGTATATACGTATACGTCTTATGAGCCAGTGTTTTGGACGAATATATATTCAATAATTCTAGCGGCTTCAAATCAAGCAGGAGAAAGCTGGTAGGCCCACATGTGAGAGAATGGGTCTGTGTGGTCAGTGTGCACCACATAAAAAAAATCCTGCAGCACGCAGTGCATAATGAGAAAAAAAACTGAAAGTTTTTTGGGATTAAAACGCCGACTTTGAGGTGTATTTTCCACCCTCCGCCCTTACCCCTAACATAATATGGCATATATTATTCATTTCGGCATCTTTATTACAGTTCTAGGGTATTTATCGTGTTTCTGATATCAATTTGGAATAAATGTGATAGATAGATAACCTTTATTACTAATATTAGCGTAATTACACAACATTTTATTAATGCCATGGCTAACATCCAATACCCATGACAATTCACCAAATATTGAATGCCACTGCTCGCCTCTCCGTCCCTCCAATAGCTCCTCCCACTTCGTAACGATGTTACATGGTGAATTGAATGTATTACAGTAAAAATAGGAAAAAAAATTCTGAAAATTCATTACATGGTCGGTTGTATATTACTCGCTGCGTCATAAAAACACTTTTTGTAAAATGACTATAATTCTTTGTAGAAACATGGTACAAAGTTGATTTTTTATTTTTATTATCACACTGGCCGATTCCCACCAAGGCAGGGTGGCCCGAAAAAGAAAAACTTTCACCATCATTCACTCCATCAGTCTTGCCAGAAGGGTGCTTTACACTACAGTTTTTAAACTGCAACATTAACACCCCTCCTTCAGAGTGCAGGCACTGTACTTCCCATCTCCAGGACTCAAGTCCGGCCTGCCGGTTTCCCTGAACCCCTTCATAAATGTTACTTTGCTCACACTCCAACAGCACGTCAAGTATTAAAAACCATTTATCTCCATTCACTCCTATCAAACACGCTCACGCATGCCTGCTGGAAGTCCAAGCCCTCGCACACAAAACCTCCTTTACCCCCTCCCTCCAACCTTTCCTAGGCCGACCCCTACCCCGCTTTCCTTCCACTACAGACTGATACACTCTTGAAGTTATTCTGTTTCACTCCATTCTCTCTACATGTCCGAACCACCTCAACAACCCTTCCTCAGCCCTCTGGACAACAGTTTTGGTAATCCCGCACCTCCTCCTAACTTCCAAACTACGAATTCTCTGCATTATATTCACACCACACATTGCCCTCAGACATGACATCTCCATGCCTCCAGCCTTCTCCTCGCTGCAACATTCATCACCCATGCTTCACACCCATATAAGAGCGTTGGTAAAACTATACTCTCATACATTCCCCTCTTTGCCTCCAAGGACAAAGTTCTTTGTCTCCGCAGACTCCAAAGTGCACCACTCGCCCTTTTCCCCTCATCAATTCTATGATTCACCTCATCTTTCATAGACCCATCCACTGACACGTCCACTCCCAAATATCTGAATACATTCACCTCCTCCATACTCTCTCCCTCCAATCTGATATCCAATCTTTCATCACGTAATCTTTTTGTTATCCTCATAACCTTACTCTTTCCTGTATTCACTTTCAATTTTCTTCTTTTGCACACCCTACCAAATTCATCCACCAATCTCTGCAACTTCTCTTCAGAATCTCCCAAGAGCACAGTGTCATCAGCAAAGAGCAACTGTGACAACTCCCACTTTATGTGTGATTCTTTATCTTTTAACTCCACACCTCTTGCCAAGACCCTCGCATTTACTTCTCTTACAACCCCATCTATAAATATATTAAACAGCCACGGTGACATCACACATCCTTGTCTAAGGCCTACTTTTACTGGGAAATAATTTCCCTCTTTCCTACATACTCTAACTTGAGCCTCACTATCCTCATAAAAACTCTTCACTGCTTTCAGTAACCTACCTCCTACACCATACACCTGCAACATCTGTCACATTGCCCCCCTATCCACCCTGTCATACGCATTTTCCAAATCCATAAATGCCACAAAGACCTCTTTAGCCTTATCTAAATACCGTTCACTTATATGTTTCACTGTAAACATTTGGTCCACACACCCCCTACCTTTCCTAAAGCCTCCTTGTTCATCTGCTATCCTATTCTCCGTCTTACTCTTAATTCTTTCAATAATAACTACCATACACTTTGCAGGTATACTCAACAGACTTATCCCCCTATAATTTTTGCACTCTCTTTTATCCCCTTTGCCTTTATACAAAGGAACTATGCATGCTCTCTGCCAATCCCTAGGTACCTTACCCTCTTCCATACATTTATTAAATAATTGCACCAACCACTCCAAAACTATATCACCACCTGCTTTTAACACTTCTATCTTTATC